ATACTTTAATTCCAGAGCTTTCATTACAATTAATGGAGGAGATACAATGAAAGTGATAAAGTTAGTCTATGCATAACAGCAAGAGGAATACACTCAAAGCTCATCTGATGTTACTCTTGATTTCATGCTGACCTTGCTCTGCTGGCAGATGTTTTTCTGCCTGTTTTTTGGTTTATAGATGTCTGACATCCTCAATAGCAAATAACTGTAGTTAATTTTATGCAGATTAATTCTGCTGAAAGTCACACAATAAGAGGCTAGAAGGTTAAAATCATAATGAAGTGGATGCTGGTAATGTCCACATCTGTGTTTTTAGAATATTGGCAGCATTTTCATTTCCTTGGGACTTTACATAGAATGTTGCTGAAATTGTGGAAGTTTAGGCCAGCAACAAAACTGCATCCAGCTGAAACTTGAGAAAATTAAGAAACTTAAGTACAGTGTGCTTGGGAGCCTCAGGGAAAGAAAAAAAAAAAAAGTAGATTAGTGAGTGGGTTTAGTGCACACTGGTTTATACCTCTTCTTGAGGGAAATAAATATTGCCAGCTTTGCCGCTACAGAAAAGTTCTAAGAGTCAAAGATCATCACGTTTTGCTCAGTACAGCAAACCTCTTCTGCAGGACAAAAAAGATTTTGCACTCAAAATACCTGGAGCCTGCGTTATTGCAACACTGATTCAAAATTCTCTTCAAATGTAACAATTTATTTTCCCTTAGCATATGTAACTTGTTATATTAAGTACCATTGCCAAACTGAGTACACAGAGCGCTGCCTGATAGAAAATTACAGAGTAGCCATTTTTAAAGTTACCAGAATCCATTTAGTCTTGTGTCTAGATTAATGTCTTCTGTAACACTTACAAATGAAATAGCACATATGAAATAGTGTACTTTGTCCATCAGCATCATAATAAAGAATAGATTAAAACAACACATGGCTAGCTTGGCACTTTGTCATGATACTTCTTCAGTGTTACTCACTCTAAAGTATTTCAGTCGAATTCTGTGTTGCTAAATCAAGGAATGAAGAAAATCCTGATGCAGATTTCTTCAGAATATTATATATTACTTACCTGGGGACAGTCTTTGATGTAGTGTCCCTTGTTAAAGCAGAGGTGGCACAGGTAGTTAGGAGGTGGCCTCTTGCTGGGTTTTCTGGCTTCTGAAGAAAGGGATAGGTCAGAGAAATGCTCAGTGAGGGAGCTTAACCCATCCACGATGTTATTAAGGGAGCCATAAGGTGATGCACTCTTGTAGAGACTGCTGCTCAGAGCCTGAAGAAGAAAACAAATAAATCACATGCAACACAGTACTGTACTAGGGATTGTTCTGAGAGAGATGTGAATAGGAGATAGATAAAAACAGCAGGGAAATAAAAGTGATTCTTTTTTTCTTAGGAACATGGCTGCACATTTGAGAGGAACAATATACAGGCTGTTAAAGAAGAGGTTTCACGATGGCAGTGATATGGACATGGTCACCCCACTGTTGAGGAAACTAATGAGCTTGCCATGGTTCTCTCAGTCCAACCTTTCCACTAAGCAATGACTGCTTTCCTGTGTTTGACCATAATGCACTCCTAGTACAGTTAGATTATGCAGGCAAAAAGCTGAAAGAACAACTCACACAACAGAACCCTTTTGTGTCCAAAACTACTTACGCAAAGAATACTGAAGTCAGGGAAAGGAAAAGAACGCCAAGAAAAATGCAAAGTAACTTCCAATTTCCAATCTGGTTAATGAGACAGTCAACAGAGTCCCATGTTCAAATAATAACAAGAAGCATTGAGATCTACATCTGGTTTGGATTTTCTGAGGGGGAACCTGCTGTGATTTAAACATTTCCTGATAAACAGTAAATACCTAGGTTTTGTACTTCACCTCAATAGGATCTTCACTCTCTCAATTTGCAAATCAAAATCAGTAGCTCCTAATTTGCTATTCACTAGTTTTAGAACAGCAGGAAACACATCAACACCTAAATAGGTATTCTCCCTAGTGGAGTTAACATGGATTAATTCACTGTAACCACTTAAGGTCCAAAAGAAACTGCATAGTGGAGTTCAAAAAGAAAATTAAAACTCTTTAAAAAAATTAGCATCATAATGAAACACTGTAGGAATAGGACCAACTATTGACTATCCTTTCCATCCTCACATGATGGGACACCTTGCACATGGTGTTTCCACCTTAGGTCTGCAATGCCATGCTCATGTAATTCTCCTCGCATCAGAGAATTACTGCTGGGTATTACTCTTATGGGAAAATGAGGTAAGAAGAGGTCCAATCTGCACCTCTTTGCTTTAATTCTACTGAATTCAAATATTTCAATGGCGTCTTTATATGTGTTTTTATATGTTTATACATGTTATACATATTTTGAAGGCATGCACTGAAATTGATTTATTTTTTTTTGTGGAAAAAAAAAAGTTTGTGAAAAAAATCTGAAATTGAAATTAAATTAATTTCAGAGATCTCAAACTTTCAGGGTGCCTGCACAGTGAGTGTTTTCTGGGTGACAGTTGCATAACAAAAAAAAACATATTAAAACTCCAGGCACAAGCACCTGGGTGAGACCCAACTATCCCTGAATTCCAACCCACCACAGATGGTGTACACTGCACAGAAAAGGTCAGCCTAATAATCTCCTTCACCCACTTGTTCTGTAGTCAAACACAGCATGCTGAACTCCACTGACCCCTCTTGCAAAGCTGAAGCTGGTGCACAGCAGCAGGATCAATTCAAAAGGTCTCAGAGTGGAATTGGATTTCACATGGGACTTCACATATGTCCTGGGACAACAACATCCTGTGAAGCATAGTTGTGTGCTGTGCAAGATGATGTGGCTGAGAGGAGAATCAGCCACTTTGTTTCAGGGGTTAAAGTCACAGATTTTAAAAGGAAAAGGTATTTCAAAAACGAATAAAAAGATTATAGCTGCTTTAGCCATCAAGCAACCCAAGATACCTCCAATGGTCACTGGAATTTATTTCTAGGATTTATTGGCTGCTATTGGAATGAGAAATTCTTGGCATTAAATTTTGAAAAGGAAGAGGAAGTGCTGTGGATGCCAAAGTAGTATTAATTAAGGGTCTTCAAGAAGTTCTTGTCTCCCTAGGAGCCACTTTCTCTTATATATGCTTGGAAAAACATAAAATATTTCTTTTTAAGAGATCTTCTTGCCAAGAAGTTCTTGAAGTACTTCACCTGCACTACACCCATTAGTAACTTTGCAAATTCCTTATTATCTGATTTTATAGAAGGGTGAAGGCATAGACGTAGAACATGTGAAGTCGCAAATTTTTTACCTATTGCCAAAATCTGGAATATCTCCTGAGAATGAAGAATAACTTCTGCCCATCAGGAGGTTGCAATTTTTACCCCCAGGGCCAACTCAGTAACAAACCAAAACATATCTATCTGCTGCCTACAGGGGGCTTTGAATTGGACATATGGCATGCAGCGAGGACTGTTTTCTTTCCTACACATCCTTTACACTGAGCTATTGCCCTCATTAAAAGGGAGCAATTTGGAACCACAGCTGGGTATTATTTAACTCACTCCTCCAACCCTTCCTGGCACGTTTCAGGTCAATACTGAAAAACAAGGTGGCTCACTCTGGCAGCAAACCTTCACAAACTTTTGTTTCAACCGTGGCAGCCAGAAGCTGCCAGAGGCTCAGATCCCATCAGACTATGGGCTGTACTGATACTAAATCACACCCTCACCCATACCATAATCATACCAATGGTTCTGTGGCCAAAGAGTGGCACATGGCTCTAAAAGTGGCCACCTGGCTCAGCTGGCAGGGTACTTGTGCAATGCATGCCACAGCTGGACACAGCAAAACATTCAGTCCACACACCGCACTGTGAAACGCTTCCCTGTAATCATCTTGAGGCCCAGTGTTAAAAAAGGAACAAATATAACATCCCAGAACATGACAGTAAAGGAGAAGATGGACATTGCTGATGTCACTGGTACTTTAAAGAACAATGCATTCCTTTGCAAAATGCCTAGACAATCCCAAGGTGCAGCCTATCCCTCTGGGTATAGTCAGGCAAACCAGTTCAGCAGTTCCTGCCAATCCGACCTGGAAAATGGTCTTAAATCTGTTTGAGTCCAAGTCAATGTGAAAAACACATCAATCTGGCACTTGAAAGTTGCTATAAAGAGCACCAGCACAAATGGTGCTACATCCTGTTTCTAGCTCTGGAAATCTCTAGCTCTTCAGAAAGAGATGAGGAAATAAGCCATTCCCAAAAGCCAAGTTATATAATAAGGGTGGTAATGGGAAAGTTCATCCCGGCCCCTGAAATCAAGTAGTGAAAACTTAGGGCTTGTAATGAATGTGATGAAATGGTGATTGACTCCATTTTGTCATTGTAAAAGACAAGGGTTGAATGAATATTGCTGAGATACATAAAACAGTTTTGGTTTGGGTTTTTTTTTTTGTTTTTCTGAGGCACTCAATTGAGCAGAACAGCAATTCAGTCCTTACTAAGTGTTTGCACTGCTGCAAAGAGGATTTTTAAGAAGGGTTTTGAATAAAAGTTTGAATTAGCTTCACACCAAAAGAGGATGTCTGAGGGGGGAGAAAAGGGTGATTAGAGTGCCAGGGAGAGTGTTGATGGCCTCAGACAGAAAAGAGAGAGGAAGAAAGAAATGCATTCTGACTCACTCTAGTCTCAAGTGTATTAGTACTCATTTGGGAGGTGGTAGGGAGACTGCTCCTCTCATGAATTCCACCAAAATCAATGACTGCTCTGTGTTCACAATGCAACACTAGCAAAGCCAACCTATTTCTTTAAATGGTAGACAATAGTACCTCTCAGAGTCTCATTTTGAGCTTGAACAGGAGAGAAAGGATTGGCAGTGAAAGGGTTAGTGCTCTCAAGGCGCCCGAAAGACCACACGGCATGTCCTAATTACAAGGCTCATCAGCCCAGCTGCAATGAATTCAGGATTTCCTTATCTTGCCATACTGGGGGGGATGGGGAACTTGGTGGTAAAACTTAGAAACTGCCTTGGTGGGAGGTTTGAGCTGATAATGTAAGTTTGTCTGTTTGTTTGTTTTTTCCTTCCTATGAAACTTGTTGATTTAATTGAATGTGAACCAAACTGAAAATCTTGTATTTTCCAAAGGTAACCTCTCTGCTGGGTAGATCTTTAAACTGTATCTGTTGGTGGTGTTGGGAAGCAAAGTTCCCTTTGTTATTTGTTTGCTCAGTGTTTCCAGTTAAAGGGCACGTAATCTGCAAGGTTGCATTGTGGTCCTCTGTGAAAGAGGCAGCTATTGTCTTCCATAGCTTCCTCACTCTGATTTCCAGTTGGGTAACATACGTGAGTGACTCAAGAGTTCCAGTATCTAATTCACCTCTAAGATATTCCTAGTTACATGAATGATTGGCTAATGCTCTTGACTCCTTAGCTGGGTCCCTGCCTTTCAGAAATATCTTCTGGGGCTGATGTGTCAAGAGGCAGAAAAAGAAACCCCAAAACACTGGCTTTATCTCTTCAGTTTCTGAGACCAGCTGTTATTAATAAACAATGTCAGCTTGTTTATATGGGAATGATACCTTCTTATTATGCATGGACTTGAAAAGTAGAGGCAGACCTGGAAAAACCAGTTTCTGCCCCAAGTTCCATTTGTGGTTGCTGGACCCTTAAGGCAGCAATAAAGATGAACATATCGACCAGTTACATAAGGCTAGAATTGACTTGTGCTGGTTGATCTAGCCAGAGTATCTGTTTGATGCTCTAGAAGCTAGTGTGATTTTTGCTTTTGGTTCCCTTCACATTTGAAGTAATTGCACACACTGAAGTGAGGTCCTGTAGCACTTCAGTATTCCTACAACCTAGTCCAGTCATCAATGCTTCCACAGCATGAAGTAGTCTGTAATTGGAAAGCAATAAGCAAAGAATTTTGATGGCTTATTTTTGCATTACTATGCTGCTTTCCAAATAAAGCAGTCTTCATGGACAGAGCGATGTTTAAGTCAACAGACACCTTGGCTGTTTGAAGTTTGTAGGAAAAGGGAGTTGGATTTCCCTGTCATCAGTATGGAAAAAGTAAGGGTTTAATATACAGTAAATTGTAAATATGTGACAGTAACCAGATTAGCCATGCTAATCATTAGCCCTGCACCGAAATATCAAAAGGTGCTGAAGTTATCAGCTTGGATTTTCACAAAAACAAGAACCGAGTGGTCCCTGTGCTGTGTCATGGATAAAACAGTAGGATAGACAAGCCATTGCCCTCACTCAGTTGCTACTTCCATGTTGGAGGAGACAGAAATCTCAGCTACCCAAACAGTAATTCAGTGGCTTGAATTAACCTCAAGGGTCTATAGATGTCTTATTTGCTAGTGTCCTAAGGTTTGCTTTCGATGTGGGCTTTATCCACAACCGTGTTTGGAGAAGAGCACTTAAAACCTGTGACTTCTCTGTGCTGCAGCTCTTCGTAAGTGGTTAAAACTGTTCCTTGTTTTTGTCCCCAAAGAAAACACCCAATTCAGAATCACAGAATAGAATCATGGAATTGTTTGGATTGGAAAAGACCTTTAAGATCATCATCAATGTTTATGGCCAACCCCAAAGCCTTCTGAAAACAGAGGGATTAAATGAAAATACAGTAATAAATTTAGTTGTACTAATTTGAGCCAGAAGAAATAGAGAAGTTTAATTACCAAGGCTGAACTGGAAAACCTCAAACTGCTCCTGTATGGCTTGTGTCTGCTTTAGCTCCTCTGATAAATTGGATACTTTTACAAAAAAACAGCTTAAGAGTTTGTTCAGTAATATTTTATCATTGGAAAACTGAGAGCCAAGCTCATCACTCAGTGAAGAAAATGTTTGCCTGGAGCAAGGAAAAAAAAAACCTCAGGTTTCTGTTTCCATCTGAAGTCAACTTTTAAGTCAGCTGTCAAAAAAATCTGGTCTTTGGCCTAACTTTTAGTAAAATCTGAATTACTCCAGTTCTCATATAAAACCACAGCTAAATGTAGATTACCCAAGCAAACCTTAATGCATTCCTAGCTGGTTAGACTAGCCAAGTATACCTTAATTCATCCTTCTTACATGGGGGGTTTTAGACAAATACATGACTATGTTAAACTGCTAACACTGAAGTACTTCTAAATATTTCTAGGTAGATGGCACTCGGCCTTACCTTCTGCAGAAACAATATCTTAAGGAGACAGCTACAAATGCAGTGTGACCTGACAGTGGTTGTGAAGCAAATTATTGAAGAGCAATGAATCTTTAATCCAGCGTATACATCTCTCTAATCTAGTTATTCCAAATCTGACAGCTCAACTGGCTGTGGTGTCTCAGGTTGTAATTGCTGAGACTCTGCAGAACAGCAAGAGGCTGCAACACCCTCCTCTGTGCATGACTGGTGTGTACCTTCAATCACAGCAAGGCTGGAGAGCAGCACACACCACCACCCTGCTTTGCTTTACATCGGCTGGCCTTCGACACGTGGATCCAAAGCTTTCGACGAGTTTCTCAGACCTTAAAAAAATCCTGTTCCCTATGTACTGTACAGTGGTAAAGTTATGCTGACAGTTCAGGAATTGGTCTGCCACCGTCTTCAGGCTTGCTGGAGCTCAGGTGCCTACTTCTGGCTTTCTGCTAGTGGTGTGATTCCCCCTTATTTCAGCCTGAGGGAAGGGTTTGCTGTGGCTATCAGCAAGAACATTCATTCTGCACTACGTACAGGGACCTCACAAAAGGCCTCTAAAGGCAGACGTGGGAGGGGACAGACATTTGCTCTGGTCAGAGGCATGCAGTCTTGAAGGAATTTTCTAAATCTTGCACCAAGTTCTGCAGGGTTCCCTTTTATCTGCTGAATGCCCAACAACTGCCCACTTATGTTAAAGAGAAGCTCTAACACGTGAACACTGTATTAGGGACAACGGAGACCATTCACGTTGCAAATTACTTTAACACATCCCCCCAAAAGCTGGGGAGTTCCTGGGCTGTCCTATGGCTGCCAACCTCCCTGACCTATGGGGAGGGGCCCCTGCCAGGCCCCTCTGTCCCACTGCTGCCCAGAAACAAGTCCTTTGGGTCAAGACAAGGTTCTCTGTGCCCAGAAACAAATCCTTTTGGTCAAGACAGGGTTCTCTGTGCCCAGAAACAAGTCCTTTTGGTCGAGACAGGGTTCTCTGGTGAGGAGGAGGTTAGGAAGGCTGTATAGCATGAAGTGAGGGGAGAAACGGATGGACATGTTTTGATCCCTGCACTTTCTGTTAACATCTCTGCTTCCTGCAGGAAATCTTGTCTCAATCTGACCTGCAGTCTGAAAAACAAGAGTCGAGTTTCCTCTCATTTGGTAGGTCTTTTGACACTCCAAATGCAAGAAAAATAACACCCGGAAATAGATATGTGCCTGTTCAACACACACTTAGGAAAGCATTTACCTCCTGCACAGCTCTTGCATGATGAAAGCTTTCGCTAAGAAATGTCCATTTTGGGTTAAACAGAACTCTAAGTCTGAGACAGTTTTGTTTATATCATTTACATTCAGTAATGCCTTCTTGGCACAGAAACTTGCACGATGGCTGCCAAAGTTTAAAAGAGGCAAAGCTGAGGTCGTTGTCAGAGGTAGAAACAATACATCATCTGCCCAGAATGGGCCCCTCACAGCACGCTGAGGGCCCCAGTTCCTGCACTCATGGGAAGACAAAAACTTTTATTAAATTGAATATAGTGAGGAAAATAAATTATTTCTGTGTACTAAATGACAGGCTGGAATTTCATTTTGTGACTCTGGCTTGTTAGATAGTTTTATCTATGTTTAAAGCTACCCTCTTAATCAACTGTGATACAGCACAGCTTGAAGTGTAACAAGCAAACCTAAAACATCACAATCTGCTTAAGATAAATTATAAAATAACAACTGAGAAATCTGGTTTCCAAGTGGATTTGAGGCTTTCTTTCCTTCCCATGCTGTGACTGGTAGAAGAATGAATCTATTATTCTACTACGTTCAGTTGCAATGTATGTTGGAGAAAGATGGTTATAGAAGAACACCTCTGTATTTCAAGGATCACTGATACTCAAACCCTCTTAAAAACTCTTGCTAGTCCTCTATTTTCAGGATGCAATGACTGTACAATAGATCCTTCACTTTCATTTCAATCACAAGGATCCACAGCCCTAATGACTACTTACAAATTAGTTGCCTAGCAGGCTCCCTTAGTGTAAAGAAATATAGGCTGCAACTCAAAAATCACTGAGATACCTGGAGCTCCTAGAAGCAAGAGAATCTCTGAGAGCAAGCTGATCCCCTTAAAGTGCTTGCTTGGCTGGCAGTTAGCTGGATGAGTTAATCTGTAAATACAGATTTCCAGCTACCCACAATCTCTCTATGTAAGGAATTGCACTTGAGTTCATTGAAAAGAGACACCAAACACTGCCACATGCAGGGAGTAGGTGTGGGTGGCCAGTTAATATGGCAGGAATTTATCTCTGCATATGAGCTCAAGTCCTGGATCATGAGGGCATTTGATGTTCAAACTAAATTTGTCAAAACATAAAATGTATTTTTTAAGAAACAGGTTTGGAAGACCAGGCAGCAGTTCTCCCACCAGCAGCACTTGATAGAACTAAGAAAAAGGGTCAATATGAGGCTCGTTAAAACTCCTCTTAAGTCAAAGTATTGGACTTGATACTATTTGCTTAGACCAAAACATAACATAGAAGGTAAGGGGCTAGGCTTGTGATATGTTAAAACCCACCAAAACTCCCCACAGCTGTGCTGGCCTGGCTAGACAATGAGGAACATGGAGAAAGCCCAGGACTTGTAACCCTGCATTTATTCTGCTTTCCTCAAGTGAATCTGTCTATAATTTTAGATTCTACTTTTAGTAGATCACAAATTGTTTGCTGTGGTTCTGAGAATAAGAACCAACCTGCAGGAAAGATGAGGTGATCCAAGTGTTATACTTATAAAATACTGTCTGTCTGAATGTATCAGCATTACTGTAAGATTTGAACAGCTTTGTAAAATTTAATTAGCTGCTTTGATCTATTATAATTATTCTGGAACCCACACAAAACCTAAATAAACCATGAGGAAAATACATTCTCTCCATTTAATTTAATAATTTCATTGTGGCTTTCTAAAAGAGGAGGAGCAATTCTAGAGGGTAGCAAAATAGGCATCAGGTTGTTGGCAACTTTTCTGGGATAGAGAAACTGGGGAGAGGCACAGGTATTAATTGTGACATTTCATTAATATGTTCAGAAAATGGAAGGTGACACCCAGTATCACTTTTTAGGTAGCATTTATGTGTATGCATCTAATTTGGTTAACAGGATACAGTTGCTTTTGTTTCTATGCAAATACATATTATCCGAATTGTATGATTTGGCTTTGTAATATCTGTGCCTGCAGCTTTTGGAAACTGCACTGCATCATTATTTTTCACGCTTCTTAAAGCAGCATGGAAAAGATTCTCTGGTCTTAGATTTAAATTTCACTTAAATCATGTTTCAAAGTCCTTTTATGGTGCACTTAATAGAAGTGATCTAGAAGACTTTCCTTAGCGTTAATTCTCACCTAGCATCTATCAGTAAAATGAAATATTTTCTTCTAGTTGTCAATTACCAAAGCAACAGGACCACTGCTATAAGTTGTTTCTTATCTATCTTATACAAGTACACAAAATCCCTCAAACAAAACAGCAAAACCAAAAAAGCCTGGGTGGAGGCGAAGAGGAGAATTGGCTTTGGGATAAAAACAATTTAGTACACATCTTGCTTATCTAATTCATTCCATATACTTCATAAATTAATACATTTGTTCAAGTCAGACTTGGATGCCTGATCATTTGTGCAGTTCACTGGAGAAGGATCTTCCTTTTCTGCTCTGAATAACTGAGTCTGTGTCTGCAGAGCAAAAGAGGAGTGGATGAAAAATCGTTACCCAACACACAGTTACATCACCCCTTTGTTTGGGTGCTTTGGCATGGAAGACACTGTAAATGCATAAAATAACTGTAAATCAAAGCTCTGTGTATAAAATATAATTGTAACAAGAATTCTACATCCTTTTGCCTCCCATTATAGGTTGGTGTGTTTTTCTTTTCTATATACTGCCTGACAGGTTTTTTTCAAGATGTGAATGTATTTGTGAGGCAAAAAAATCATGCCAGTGATTCTGTCAATGAGGAGTTTGCACAGATACAAAATCCCAAGTGATTTAAAAGGATTGGCAATGATCTTCAGCTAATCAGGAATAATAAATACAATTGGTTTACCTTCTATTGCTTGATTTTATTTTTCTTTTCAAGCTATCAAAAAGAAATCAGTAGTAAAGCAGAAAGTGCATATTCCTCTTCTTGAAGACCTGATTTACTTTCAGCAATTAATATTTTAGTTCTTGCCAGCTTTCCAAGCATGTTTCTGATTGTGATGGGAAAGCAAGTACCTGCAGATGACTATGGTGGATAATACTTTCACTGTAAATAAACTAAAGCCCAGGTGAAAGCCATGTTTGAATTAGTTAAAGCTCGAGGTAGGGCAGGTGTACTGCAGAGCTAGAGCAGCATTTGCTGGGGGCAGGGCCAGATTGTGGGTAAGGATGCAACACAAGAGGCTCTGGCTGTGGAAGTAAATTCAAGACATTTTCTTCTTACTTCTGGGAACTTTTGGCTGTCCTTAATTGGGTAAGGAAGCCAGAGTAAATGCAACGTAATTGTATTTAGAACACTGGTGAACCAAATTTGGCTGTTGTGCATTTCTTCCTGCAATCAAATTGCTATTAGGTAATTTAGCCTAAGTGTCAAGAGTAAGCAGAGTATCTGCTACATGTAGTACTGTCCACTTACAAAAACACACACAAAGAAAACACTTTATCCTGGACAATAGAGAAGCCTAAAGCCATACCTACTAGGTCATACAAATGGAAGAGTGCAATTTGGATAATAATTTGAGATAATAATATAGATCTTATTTTCAGACTCCACTTCTTATAGTACATTCACAGGTGGGGTTTTTATTTCCCTGGCAAACATGGGTGCTTTCCAAAGACGACACAGCAAAGCAGGAGGCCATGGCTGCAAAAATAAGAACAGGGAGCAGAAGAGAACGCTGATAGACATAAACCCCTGAATTTTTGAATTTTAAAGCATATATCCAACTGGAATTAGGAACAGAATAGCTATTAGCTCAAATACCTGTAACAGGATCTAAGATTTTGAGACCAGTGTACAGTGGGCTGTGAAAGCTGCCCTTTGTGTGCTCAGACAGTATCATCAAAAGGGCTCTGGAGCTGGCTGTGCTGGGAGGACAGAGGCTGGTGTTGCCAAGATCTCCAAATGCATGTTGTCCTCTGATTAACGTAAGAGATTCAGCTCCCTGGAATCTCTTATGAGGATTGATGTGAGAATTGACATTTAACTTCCTGAAAACCATTTTGGCATTACTTGTCTGGCACTTAAGTAGCCACAAGATATTATGAGTGTACAGTCATCCTGAGGAAGAGAGCACAATTCCTGCAGCACAGGAATTGTTATCCTAGTGCCCTTTCACTAGAATTTGGAGAAGGTTAAGGGCATTCCAATGTTGGCACTTACACAAAGGATAGTGAGAAAAAATTAAAATTGGGAAATAAATAATAATTGTTATTATCAAAGCACACTTTCAGGTACTGTAGACTGTGCTACTGTCAGTCTGACAGTCTGTGCTAGTCTGTCAGCTTTCTCAGTAGCTGAGAAAGCATGAAGTCCTCACTTGAGTGCCTAGCACATTAAGCACCCTGTGGATCAAAAACATGCTCTGTGTTAGAACAACTAATAATGTTACACAAAATTAAACAAATTGGACATGGTTTGGAGCATATGGCAATTTCTGATGACCTACATCTCTGCTGAGTTTGCCTTCAGAACATGCTGGTTGTGAGCAGCCCCTTAAAAGGCATTTCATTTTCTCTTTCAGATTTTTTAATCATGGTTGTTCTCAAAGATATTGCACTTAATTTAGGGGGACAATGGTCTAAAATCTGGTATAGCAATCCTTGTATTCTTACGATACTAAGAGAATGGAGATTTTTTTTTTTTTAATCTTATAATTATCCTCTACATTTTATTTCATCTAGGCCAAATAAGAGATCTTTCTTCATCAAATATCAGCCTGGTGCGAACCCTCCTAATTTTATGAAAGACAGATAGACAAGTTTGTCTGATAAAATATATTTTCCGTAGAACTGCCAATTTCCTTCCCTACATTTTTGTTCTTCCAGTGTTTCATCAGTTTTTGTTGTTAGCTTATGAATGTCACTGTCTTCTTTGGGAAGTTACCTAATCTATCCCATTGCTTTAGACCTGCTTCTGTTTCACAGGATTTGAATGTTATTTTCTGCAGCACACTAAACTTTTTTTAACTCCATACGTTTTTCTTTCCAAGCAAGTGTTCCAAACTTTACTGCAGCAAACTGAACTAGCTTTGGTGTGTTCTCATTCCGCTTGCCTATAACGACTGGATCTGGAAGTCTCCAAGTCAGAAACATGAAAATGGTAATTATTTTCTCATCTAGTATGTGCAGTTATTTGTGCTTAAATAAAATCTGTTTTAGATCCAGAAAGTGGCTGCCAAAGAGGCTTCTAGAAGGAATTTTACTCTTGAAAGACAGAGAGTAGAGAAAAAAGTTTAACTATTATATTATGATACTTTCTAGTTACTGCTTGCTGTTTCTTCTTGACCAAAGACAGCACTGACCTGGTTGGATGCCTCCTGTTAGCACAGAAAAATACCTTATGAGTCTCTTGCCCCCTTACTCTAGGTTTTTCAGTTATACCCCTCAATGACAAAGCCACAGATACCTGGCTGTGTCTCAAAGGCATTAAATTCCATATAACCAGCCTCACAACAAAGCCTCAAATACTTGGCTCTGATGGATGGTGTTATAATGAGGGTGGAGCTCAGTTCAATGGCCAATTTATTGCATCTTAATGGTCTAACATGCTTTTATTTCATATCTAGGACAACAAATGCTGCCATAAAGTTTGGTTTAAAGCAGGTCTGTTTTGCAAAATGAGTCTTGCATACAGAACAAAACACTCATTGTTGCTTTACTGTTTAAACCTTTATTATTGCTTTTTTTTCGTGGTACAATGGGCTTTTATGCACCAAACAGCTGTGTTCATCATGTTTATTTAGAAGGCATCCATTGTAGTGGAAAAAGTCTGGAGGACAAAAATCTTGAAGTACAAGACTACTCTGTGGGTGCTGGCACTTTTATTTTTTTTTTCTGTCCTATTCCTTTGGTCAGTATGCAAGTCACATACACAGGCACTGCCATGCAGACTTGCAAACCCTGTATAATAGCGACTTTTCACAAGTGCTGTCTCTTATTCCAAGTGTTCTCCTCCAGAAATTTTCAATTGCAAGGCAACATACAGGACACACAACTATTTTACACCCTATGATCCTATCATTTCTCAATCTGTTGCTATTTTGGACCCTCATTAGATCACTTTCCAAATATTGTGTACAGCTATGTGTCAATCATTGTCACAGCTCGGCTCCAGGCAAAGCCAACCCAGGACAAAACCGTGAGGGAAAAAAAATGCCAACCAAAGCAAGCACTGTGTAGAAAACAGTCAACAGTTTAACTGTGGAAAGCTATGTGTTGTTCCAAAGATAGCATAAGCCCACTTGCTGCAAAAACAGCATACAGTACTAATGCTCTCCAAAATAATTTTACGCGGTTGAAATATGTAGTGTATACTCAGTGGCATCTGCAAATAAACAGATGTTAGAATCTCAAGAATTAAGAGCATGACATTGTCGGAAACTCTTGGGTGACTCCTGCCAAAAAACAGTCTAGTTTCCAGTTTCTGGAAAGAACAGAGCATCTAACATATTGACAGAACTTCTTTTGAGCAACAGTATCTCTAGCACCTTCTAAACTCTTGAATGAAAGCTGCTGTATAAGCAGGCAGTGTTAGCCTGGGAAATTAAAGGGTTCCCTACTTCCTTCAGGGTATATCCAGCAGGGCAGACGCATTCCCATACACAGGAGATAGCTGTGCTCCCTTCCCTCTTTTCAGGTTACCATGTAGTAAGACATAGTTCAGGCAAGTACTGGAAACAGAGACGTGTCTCCATCAGCCACACAGTCAATGCTATGGTCACAGGCTGGAAAATGAATGGCAACAAACTAACGTGCTTTATCTTTTAAAAACCATAAAATGTCTGTATAGAATGAGATGGCTTCTTATTTCCTGAATGGTGAATGCTCTTGGCTTTCTATAGAGCTGGCATTCTCAGTTTCTGCTGCTGTTCATGTGCCTCAGGAAACTGTAATGAGGTTAAAAAGAGCAGAATAAAGTTACAGCTTGTGGATGATAGGGATCCACACAGAAGGTGACTTCTGGGATCTGAAAGCAGCACAGCTGGGGGAACGCTGCACAGGGACTGACTGCTTGGAGCCAGGGCAGAGACAGGGGCCTGAGGAAGGCCTGGAATAGCAGGGAAATTATTTTCCAGAAGAAAGATTAGAGGGGAAAAAATGGAAAGAACTATGAGCCAAGTGGAAAGGGAGTGTGACAAAAGGATTAGCCCCTACTTGCACAGAGTATAGTAGAAGCCAAAAATGAACCCAGGGGACTGTTGGGAAGAGAAAACTGTTTCTCAGAGACTGTTTCAAAAGCTTCCTGAATGTAGACTCCATTTACTTGTTTCTTCCTTTTTCTCCCATTCTGCTGTGAGCAGAATGTATCCCAACTTCAACAAACACGGGCCTGAACGGAGCCCAAATCTGGAATC